TTTTTTACTATTTTAAAAATTAGATTGAACAAATTAAATAATAAAGAAATTGTTATTCATTATCATCATATTCTAATTTTTAATGCTATTATTGTAGGGTTTCAGATATTCGAATATCGAAATGATTCGGATTTCGAAATTGATTTCGAATATCGGATTTCGAATATCAAAATCAATCATCTTATCGATCGATTATTTATTTTTTTTTTCCCTATATTATTGTATCCAAATATATTACTATTTAATTCGGCAAATATATATTTTTTTTTTTTATTTGAAATATAAACTCTAATAATCACACGCATATCATCACACACGTATGTCTTCATTTCGAAATTACTATATGTTATATAATTTGTTGTTGTTTGATATTCGAAAATCAATTCTGGTCGGAATTAAAATTTATTGAAGCTAAATTTATAATAAAGTTCAATGAGCGATTTATTTATTTTTTTTTTTTAATTATATTTTATCCGCGGATTTTGAAGTATTAACGAAATTGAAACTAAAGAACCTAATTTATGATCGGAGAAATTCATTGTCTTGGAAAATATTTGCTAACAAATAGCAGTCGTATTTGCTTGAAAACACATCATTTAATAAAGTCGTTATAAAATAAGTTAAAAAAATTGAAATAACTTTATTCCTGATTTTTAGTTATTTGCATCTTTAATAGGTCATTCAGATTTTCCTTAATCACTTTCTTGTACCAATAAATAACATTCATTATATTATTTTCTATAACTTATTCACTTTGCTCATATAAACGTGCTAAATTTTTCTGAGCAATATTATTTCCTTCCTTGGCAGCTATTCTGTATAATTCCAATGCCTTCTCTTTATTGGCTTTAACTACAATTCCACGTTCGTAGTAATATCCAACTTTGCATTGGGCCTCTGAATATCCTTGATTAGCCGAATTCTTAAAAAATTCGAATGCTCTAGTCAAATTTTCACCGACACCTTTCCCTATTTCATAAAGTTCGCCTAATTTATATAATGCAACTTTATTGTTGTCATCCGCGGCTTTATGATACCAATAGTTAACTTTATCCAAATCACTAAATATGTTATCATCACTATCAAATAATAGTATATCATGTTCATTATCATTATTTCCAGCAGCCTTATTATATAAATCAAGACCTTTTTCTTTATCAGCCTCCACCCCAATTCCATTTACGTAGCAATATCCAAGTTGAAATACCGCACAAAAATACCCTTGTTGAGCAGATTTCTGAAAATAATCAAATGCTTTAAATTCATCTTTTTGCACCCCATTTCCTAATTCATAACATTCACCCAAGTTATACTGTGCAACTTCATATCCATTTTCTGCGGCTCTCTGATACCAGTAAAAAGCCTTTTCCAAATCTTTTTCTATTCCTTTACCTTTGTCGTATAGACAACCAAGTGTATTCTGCGCGATTTCACATCCATTTTCAGCTGCTTTTTGATACCAATAAAGTGTTTGTTTTAAGTTCTTTTTCGTTTCTTCACCATTTTCATATAAATAACCAAGATTATATTGTGCGATTTCATACCCATTTTCGGCTGCTTTTTGATACCAGTAAAATGCTTTTTCAATATTTCTTTCCGTTCCTTCACCTTTCTCATACAAGCACCCAAGTGCATTTTGTGCATATTCGTAACCGTTTTCTGCTGCCATATGAAACCAATAAAAGGCCTTTTCTAAATTTTGCTTCGTTCCTTCACCTTTTTCATACGAAAAGGCAAGGTTACATTGCGCTGCATTATAACCTTTTCCTGCTGCTTTTTGAAACCAGTAAAAAGCCTTTTCCAAATCTTTTTCCGTTCCCTCGCCCTTTTTATATAAATAACCAAGATTGTTTTGTGCGAAATGATTTTCGTTTTTAGCTGCCTTTTGATACCAATAAAATGCTTTTTCCAGATCTCTTTTCGTTCCATCACCCTTTTCATACAATAGTGCAAGGTTATATTGTGCGAAATCATTCTCACATTCCGCTGCTCTATGATACCAATAAAAGGCCATTTCATAATTCTTCTTTATTCCTTCCCCATTTTTGTATAAACATCCAAGATTATTTTGTGCATATTCATAACCATTTTCGGCCGCTCTTTGATACCAATAAAAGGCTTTTTTAAAATCCTTTTCCGTTCCTTCACCCTTTTCGTATAGACAGCCAAGATTGTTTTGAGCAAATTCATAACCATTTTCGGCCGCTCGTTGATACCAATAGAATGCCTTCCCTAAATCCTTTTCCGTCCCATCACCCTTCTCATATGAAAGTGCAATATTATTTTGAGCAAATTCATACCCGTTGTCGGCTGCTCTTTGATACCAATAAAAAGCTTTTTCTAAATTCTTATCCGTTCCTTCTCCCTTTTCATATAAAAGTGCAAGGTTATATTGTGCAATTTTATTTTCATTTTCCGCGGTTTTATGATACCAACGGAAGGTGCTTTCCAAATCTCCAAGGTCATTTTGTGCGGATCCAATTTCGGTTTCCTCTGAATCGGGATCCATCTTAATATATATTTTTTTGATGTTATCCTTTATAATGTCATTTAGTTTCTTTGATATTTTTTGTCAAAGTTTAAATTTCCAAGTTTACACGGAGTGTCATTAATTGTTTTTCCGTTTATATGTCTCACAATTGCCGATCATACGTCATATGCATCGCGAAAATCATTGCCATAGTTTTCAAAAAAATTAACATCCAACTGTCGTTAAAATAATTTCTCGTATTTAACATTTACTACCTATTTCTTATTTTATATATTTATATTATTATTTTTTTTTTGATGATATTGTATACCAAAAATTGACCAATAAATTTGCGGCGGAATTGTTGCACGTGACCAACCGACGAAAAAACTTTACGATTTTCTGGGTGATTAAGTACCTTTACAACCCAGCCCGCTACTAACTAAATTCATGTAACTATTTGTCATGAAAAAAAAAAGCTCCCAATTTTCTGATTTTAACTTCTATGCTATATAGGAAAATCATCATAAGATCCCATTTTTACAAAAAGGTAGAATTTAGTTAACTGACGTCGTCTGAGTGTTAACCGAATACTCTTAAAATATTTAACGGGTCGGGATTTTCAAGCAATGGCTAAAAATCTTTGTTCATTAATCCTTCAGATTCATCGAATGAAAGAGTTAGACCTTTAAAATCACAAGTCGTAAATGTAATTGTTGTCAAATAGGGTAGCACTTTAGAACATTTATCAATCGATTGTTTATTAACATACTATAAACGAAGATAAGAAAGCCCCGTCTGTAATAAGGAAATAAAGGATTGTAATAAGTCATTCAACAAAACGCAAGTTGAACTCTTCAAATTTCCGAATTCTTCAAAATCATTTCACAAAATTCGGGCTGTATTCGTAATGAAGCATCACGATGTTGAATTCTTTACTTTATACGAATCCAACAACAAATCATTTTCGATTTACATGCTTAAATCTTTCATCTTTGAAAAAGATGAATTGGGATAATAGTAAAAAATGATGGATTGAAAGTGATTCTCAAATTTGTTTAATCGACTTTGATAAATAAGAAATAGGTATTAAGAAAATTAGAAGTTCCTCGACAAAATCAAAGTGCGAGAGTTGCGACCTGATAAAAAGTCGATTGACGAAGGAAATGATTTTAAATCTTTTTGTAATGTTGGAGAACTTTTGAACACGACATGTCTTGAAATACTTGAAAGACTAGGAAGAGAATAGATCATTTATATACTCGACCATGTCAATATTGTGCAACTTACCTCATTTCTTTTCATGAATATTGTAAATTAATTTAAAATAGTTTGTCCTTAGTCATATCATCAAAAAAAATTATGTGAAAAATAATTTTTTGATGATTTTCGAATTGGTCATAAAGGTTAGTTTGCTAATACCTATTAATCCGAATAGTGCTCCGTAAGGGTCGGGTCGGGTTTGAAGCATATTCGAACTCGAACTCGTTAATAATTACAGAACCCGAGATTCGACTCGACCCGATCATTGTTCGACTCGGATTCGACTCGACTCGATTAATGTTCAACCCGGGACAACCCGGGACCGACTCGATTTTCAAGGGTAATATTAACTTTGAAATGAAAAAGCGTCGTATATAGTTTATTTTACAGTATTTTAAAATTGTTTATTTTATTATTTTTTTTTATTATTTTTTTTGTTGACAATAAATTTCTATTTTTTTTTTATATTTTTTTTTCCATGGATTTTTATCAGGGTGATGACGTTCTAAGTGACGCCAAATATTTGAATCACCAATTTTGTGAAGCCATGTTTTATTACTTCTAAAATATTTTTAAATAAAAAAGATATAAAAAACCTACATAATATACTATGTTTTCTTTTAAAAAATGTAAAAGAATACATATGAGCAATTAGGACAACGAACTTTGCGATGAGTACTTGAAAACTTATGTTCCGGCGGAAGAACTTTCTCTTCAAAAAGTTCTTTGACAAAAAGTTCACTCTGCAATCATTTTTTAGAACTTTCATTAACATCTATATTGGTAATGTCTATAATTTCACTCATTAAATTATTATTTGTTTACAAATCTAAGTCGCGTAATGTAAATTAGTCTAGCTTGTAATTTATATTGTGAAAAATTATAAAGTAACCCTGACCTGACGAGAAAAATTTTGAGTCAGGTCGAACAACTCGACCAGATTGAAGCACTAGATCCACATGATTTCAGAGAGCTAAATATTATGGAACTTTCAGTATTATTACTTAACATATACTACGCTAGTTCAGAAAAACGCGTTAATTTTTTTTCTTTATAAGTTTCACACACGTGTGATGAAACAGGAATTTTCTTTATTGAAAAAAATGAAAAAATCTTTCCTATATGTTAGATCAGCTATAATATAATTATTTGTTATAACCTGCTTCTAATAACCAAATTCAATTTATTTTCACGTGGTCATCCATTATTTTGGAATGTCAAAATTTTTTAATTTGGTTCCTTTCTCAACCACTTACCCCAAGTATTAATGAAGCGATCAAAAACTCATGTTATCAATGAAATAGGAAGAGAGCTCGAAGAAACTATTTTAGAGAGTTTGAATGTTAAGAATAGTGAGTATTTCACTGTTATTTTTATCAAGTCATTGTATATCTGAAGTTACACTGCTATTAGGTTTAAAATGTCTAGGAAATAAAAGCTCTTTGTGGCCACAGTTTTAGCCGTAAACAGTTATTTCCTGTTTCTGAAATCCCAAAATTTGGTACTACCCTGAGAATTGTAATAAATAGGAATACAAATCAGTTTTACTTGATTTTTGATAATGATGATGCAAATTACTCATTTTTTATTTTATATTTTCATAGAGATCGTGGTGATAAAGGGAAAGATATACGTTCTAATATCTCATTGTTATTCAATTCAAGAAATTAAAAAGTAAAAAAACAGATATATTTTATGAATTTAATGAAATTTTATTATATTTAATGAATATCATTAATAAATTTCTAAAAATCACAGATCCTTCTGTTGTCTAAGAGTTGGGTAAGATGCTCTCTTAACAACCAGGCAGGACAATCAGCATTATAGTGGCCTTTCAAAGGATAGTTTTCTCATAGAGACCAAAAGTTCTTGATTTAGACACGTGGTAGATTGCTTTGTAGCCACAAATGATTGTGAATGTTTTTGATTTTTAATGATGTTGACACAATTATTCATTTTTTATTTATAATTTTCATAGAGGCTAAGGGGATAAGAGGATCAATATGCACATAATGAAAGATTTGTAAGGCAATGTAAAGCTTGAAAGAAAAAAGAAAAATAGGTATTTAATGGAATTTAATAAAAATTAATTATATCTAAATGAATCTCATTTAATAAATATCTAAATATCTCAGGGCTTACCGTAATCTAAGAAATAATTGAGGCATTATTAAATAAGTCTTGGTCAATAATTAGCATAATAATAGAGTTATCCAAAGTTACATTACTAATAGCACAGTAAAAGCAACTGAAGAATCAGAAACAATCATAACTGATAGTGATCATCTATATGATGATTTATCAGTAGTCACTGATCTACTTAAAAGAAAAAGATATATTATATATTTTTGTATTTTATATTTCAGACCTTTTGATTAGAAAATATCCTACTAACTTATCAGAAATTCTTTAAAGAAACCTCACTATTTTATAAATAATTTGAATAATAAATCATTTTAATTTATTAGATTTTTAATCAAATATTTATATATATCACTAATATCTATAATATAATTAGAATTATTAAATAAAAGTTTTATTGAATGCAATTCTAATTTCCTTTAATCTTATTTTATAAATATAAACAATGAATATCAAATAAATTATAAAGATGTCCTTTTTGATATTTAATAGAAGAAGGAGTTTTTTAAATAATAAAAATTGTAATTCAATAAGAAATCAATTTACTAAAATATATGAAATTAGTAATTTCAAATTATTTTATAAATATTAGATAGTATAACTTGATAGTTCTATCAAATTTCTAAGAAATAATTTTGAAAAACTATGAAAAAAGAATAGGATTTCTTTATATTACAATATAAATATCTAATTCACAGTTACTGTATCTTATGTTTATAAAAAAAAAATTGATAATATTAATCTTATTTTATTCCTATTAACTATAATTTAGTTATTATTTTTTACACTTTTAAAATTTTTAATAAAGAATTTTGATAAATAAAAATTCAAAGTGTATTATTATGATTGATTTTATATTATAAAAAAGAGAATATCCAGAGTCTTTAGGTAATTGTAAATTTTTATGATGCAGAAATATTAAATTAATTTGGAGTTTGAAATATTAAACAACTTAATTTATAAATCTGACAGATTTTATTTTTTACTTTTTTATTTATTATTTTTACATTTTTAGATAATTTCAAAGGATTTTTAGAAGGAAAATAAATCATATTATATTATTTTATTCATATTTTTTTGAAAATAATATTATGATAATGAATATTTAGGAGAATTTAAGGGATTTAGAAGGAAAATATATTATATTTTTATTATTTACATAGCTATTCCAATTTTTTGCTTATATTTTTAAATAGTAAATTAATCAGTAAGTTTTGATAATATTTTTGTTATATTTTTATGAATTAATTAGGTTTTTATTATTAATAAAATTTTAATATTTAAAATAAATTTAATAAATAAAATATATTAATATATATGCTTATTTAACTAAATTAATACTAAAATAAAGCTAATTTTAGGTTGATTTATGGTTGTTTAAGTTCTAAATTAATATAAAATTGATGCTAAATTGAGGTCAATTTTAGGATGATTTATAGTTAAATTTAAGTTTAAAATAATGCTAAATGGCTATGTCTGATTAGAGTCAATTGACATCGATTAGTGAATATTTGTGTTAATCAGAAAATATAGCAAATCAGTCATAAATAATATAAAATTAGCCTAAAATTAGCTATTTAATTTCTAGCTGATTTCATTATTAACCATATTTAAGACATATGATTTTTTGTAAATAAAAAAATAATTTATATAATTATATTTATTAAATCATAATGATTAAAAGCATTTATTATATGTGATAAAAAAATAAATCCAAAAACTTATATAATTGAAAAATTAATATATCATTAAAATTTTTTTTATAAAAAGACATAATTTTCAATAAAAAATAAAATAAAAAAATTATTTCTTGATATTTATTTTTATAAAATATGATAAAAGTATTTATCAATATCTTATGAGATATTTATTACTACTTTTACTCATTAATTTATACTTTTAATAAGATTTTAATAAATTTCAGCTGAAATCTTTAATTAAGATTGTTAAAAGAATTCTTTTAATTCTTTTACATTCCTTAGATTTTTTTGCTTTAATCAGATTTAACATTTAAGCTTATCCTATAAGTACTCTATAGGATTAAAATTAGAATATTATCCTAGCCAAAATTATTATTATTTCTTCAATTAAGTTTTGTATTCATTCACTTGTGTAAAATGATACATTATCTTGTTAGAACAAATATTCTTTATTTTGTTTTTCAAATTCTTTTGAAAATGTGATTAAATAGTAGCCAAAGATCTCTTAAATATATCTTTTACTGTTTATCTAATCTTCAATCCTTATTAATAGACCTAACCTATATCTGAAAAAATATCTCTACATCATAACTCCTTCACCATCATGTTTTACAGTCAAAACAAAATAATTAATATTGTATTTTTGTTTAAAAACTACTAAACTCAAATTTTCCATTATTCTAAAATAGAGTAAATCTAGATTTATTATTTTATATAACTTTTTTCTAATTATTTATAGTTTATAAATATCTTTATAAGTTATTTTTACCAACATTAGATTTCTTAAGGGCTGTATGATTATTATATCCTATTTCATATAATATTTTTTATAATATGCTTATATATTATATTTTTAGTAAACTCAATAAAATTTTTTTATTTTTTTAACAGGTTCACATTAGATTTAATAATAATAGTCTTAAAATAATACTCGTCTCATTCAATTATTTCTTTAAATATTTACTTCTATAAGCAATAAAAATAGCATTCTTCTTATAATATTTATTATTATATTATATATTATAATTTTATTATAATCAATCTTTTTGAAATAACCCTTTCAAATAAAAGCTTCTAAATTTAAAACTTTAACAGATAACTAATACCTTATTATTTTAAACACTTTATGAAAATCAATTAATAGATTATTTAATGAGAATTTTGAAAATTGACCTCATATATATTTTTTAATCAAAATACAGAAATTTTTAATCAACATTTCAGAAAAATATTTTATGTGATACAAAGCCAATTGATTTTTCAACCAAATTAATTTTCATTTATAAAATAGTGTATTTCAAGCGAGTTTACATTTTTTTTCTCACTCATTTATCTTTTTTAATAATTTATTACAAGAAATTCATAAGAAATATAAGGTATTATACTTTGATGAAATATTCAAGTAATTATTTATGACAAATAAAATCTGAAAATTAACTTAAAATGGATTTGAGAAATAGCATATTTAACTTTATTAAACAACACTTTTGTACATTAAGTAAGAATTGATAGTTCTATTATTTGTTTTATTTTTATGTTTAACTTTATTGATCGTTCGATTTTAACTGGACAATGCTCTTGATTATGAATATTCAATGGAATTATATTATTATATAATAGAAGTACTTAAATGACATTTCTTTGGATTAGACTACAACATTCTTATATGAAAAATAATCAGAAAAATCATGAAGTTATTGATTTTCTATGAACTGTTTTGCTCTTTTTAATTTTTTTTTCTTTTTAGTTTGGACAAAGCTCTTAATTGCAGAATAACCAGTGAAATAATGGACGAACTTTATAGAAAATTTTTCAAGAATCGGGTTTGCTATTTTTTTTGTTTTTTTTGTGTCTAACATTACTAATGCGTTTAATTTTAACTAAATAATGTACTTGATTGTGAAATAATCAATAGAAGTGTTATAGACGAGCTTATAGGAAATTTTCCATGGATCAGGTTTGCTCTATTTTATTTAATTTTGTTTTTTTATTTAATTTTTCCAATAGTTTAACTTTAACTGGACAACACTTGATCGTAAAATATTAATAGAATTATAGATTGCAAAATAGATTATATGGGAGGTAAGCTATAAAAATCACATTACAGATCATATGATTTACTTTGTTCGTAACTTAATTTTAATAGCAAACCTCCTATATAATATTTTCATAAATTGTGTTTGCTTTTTTATTTTTATTTTTATTTTGTTTTTTATAATTAGCTTCATTTTATTTATATATATGAACTTTTATAGACAGGTTTTATTTTTTTTTGTTTATGTATCAATTTTACAAATACGTTTAATTTTATCTAAATAACTTTTCTGATCCTAGAATATTCAATAACAATTTTTTATAATATATTCTTTAATAATTATATAATATAAAGCATTTCTTCTTTTATTTATAGGGCCTTATCAATATTACTGCACTGAAGTTTTTCTTAACTACCAAACTAAAAGAAAATTTATTGTATTCAGCTAGGTTTTGATAACGATTTATTCTATCTGTACATTTAATATGAATTATCTAATTTGATTTTTCTAAGTTTTCAATATTAATAAAAATATGAAACTCAACAACCTTGCCTATCCTTAGGTATTTACATAAATTTATCTAAAATTGCAATAGATAGCGAGATTCAATTTTCTTAATAAGTATAAATTATTTTTATTATATTTTATAAAATAATTTCCACAACTTTTCAATAATTTTATCTTTACTGTCTTCAACCAATAAATAAAAGTTGATATTCTCTAAAATATGTCATATAATACATAATATGATGATTAATACGTGCAATCAATATAAAAATACAGGTGTATTTTA